AAAGCTAATAGTTATACTTTTATTAATATAAAGCTTATTTAGCTTATAAAGTAATTCTTAGAAATAGAATTATAATTCTTTTTCTTATTTTATATTATATATAGTTTTAATAAAAAGCTAGCTAAGTTTACTAAAAAATATATAAAAGTCTTATTTCTAATTAATAAATAAAGTATTAATATATCTATAATTATTCTAAATCTTAAAGATTATAATATTATTCTTAATAGAAAATAAATAATATATATTAATATTCTAGTTAATTATAGAAGATATAGGCTTATATAAATAAAGAATAAGCCTAAATCTATATAATTCAGTTATATTATTTGTATTTCTTAGTAATAGCTAGAGAAGTAACCTAATAATAAATATTAAAAAGACACTAATTAATAAGATTTTATTATAAGCTATTTCTGGAAATCTTTTATTTTTAAGTAGTTTTTTTTTAGACTAATTAAAGTAAATTATATAAGATTATAGAAAAGAAGCTTCTATAGCCTAATTAAGATATAATATCTAAGTAAAAGCTAAAGAAATAAGAAAAGGTCCTTAATAAAAAGTAAATATTAAATCTAGCTATTTTTATTTTTATAATATTTAATTATATAGCTAAAAGAGAAAATAATATTATTAGTTAAATCTCTATTTATAAGATTAATAAAGAGTTTAAAGTTCGGAAAAGAGAAGCTATTTCTGGCCTAAAGAATTAATAACTAGAAGAAATAAAGCTTTAGTAATTATAGAAAATATTATTTCCGGAACTCAAGAAATATACCTCTATTTTCTCTAAGAAAAAGTCTAATATTCTTTCTTTCTATAAACTATATAATTATAAGATTTAGATTAAAGGCCTAAAAAGAACTAAGAATATTAGATATTAATTTCTCTAGTAATAGTTTACTTAAGAGCTTTTAGAAATCAAGTATTTCTTAAAAAATAATCTAGCTAAGGGCTTTATTAAAGCTAGTTAGACTCTTTTTACTTTACTAGTTCTTTTTATAAAGAAAGTAAACAGAGGTTTATATTTCTATATTAATTTCCGCTATCTAAATAATATTATTTAGAAGAATTAATATCTTTTTTTACTTATTAATAAGACTTTAAATTAATTATCTAAAGCTAAGATTTATACTAAATAAAATATTTATTAAGCTTTTTATTATATAGCTATAAACCCAGACTTTTAGAAGCTAATAATATTCCGTATTTACTATAAAATATATAAATATAATATATTATATAGTAACTATATACCAGTAGTTATATGCAGGCTCATATAACTATACTTACTATATTTAAGCTTTAGCTACCTGTACTATACCTTCTTTCTTCTCATCTATCTATATATTATTATTATAATATAATATTCTTTAGAAAGGCTTTATAAATAGCCTAGTTATATATTAATACTATATAAATAATATACTTTTTAAGTATTTAAATAACTTTTATATAGCATATTTTAATAATATTTTTATTTACTTAGTAAATCTAGTAAAATATAAATAGTATATATAAAAAGTACTAAATTACTTATATCTTACCGGCCTCTAAATAAATATTAAGAAATCAGAATTTAAAGTTATATATATAAAATACTTGGGCTTTATTATTTCTATATCTAATATTAAAATAAATTCTAATAAAATTAAAGTAATATATAACTAGTAATTTTCAAAGATAATTAAGAATATATAGTTTTTCCTTAGCTTCTATAACTTTTATAAATACTTTATTAAAGAATATAAATAGATTACTAGATCTTTTATTTTACTTATAAAAAAGAGTATTTCTTTTAAATAATCCGAGTAATATTAAAAAGCTTTTATTTATTTAAAGAAAGCTATAATTTCTATTCTAGTTCTATAGTAAGGCTTTTTCTTAGAATTATAATATTTATATATATTAGAGTATCTAGCTAGCTATTATATTATTTTAATAAACTTAATATAGATATAAAAAAGATTTAATTACTAAACTAGCCTATTTTTAACTATAATATTAAGCCTTTAGTAGAAAGCTATAATCTTATTAATATTATTCTAGTTTTATTCTTATATTTTATATATTTTATATTTAAACTTAGTAATAAATATATAAAGCGAATTAGTATCTTACTTAAAAGAGTATAGCTTATTTTCTGCCTTTTATATCTTATTTGAATTCAAATAGATATAAGAGAGTTAATTAAGAATTAAGAAGTAAGACTAGATTTAATTATCTTTAGCCTAGAAAAGCTAAAGAAGAACTATTACTTAAATATAAGATTCGAGATTTAGATAGATATAATAGAACTAAGTAGTAGTATTACTAATAGCTTTATAATTAACTTATAGCTTGGCCTTAATTAAAGGAAGCCAGATATTAAACTTATAGACTTGGCTATTAAATTTTTCGGGATATAGAAAAAAGAGTTTTGGCTTTGCATTTATAGAAAAAGAGAAGAAGCGAGTTTATAAGTAAATAAGCTTATTACCTTATTACTAGATAACCTTAGCCTATTTTTATATCTCTATTTAAAGCTCGGTAATTATATTAGTAATCTGGGTTTATAAAAGTAATTCTATAATAAAAAACTTAAAGTAAAAAAGAGCCTAATAAGCTCTTAATCTCTCTAGTAAATAGATATATTAATAGTACTATTATTAAATTTAATATAAAAATCGCACTTATATATAAGACATAAGAGTAGTTTTACTTCCTCTATAAAAATAAGAATAAGTTTAGAATAATATTACGAAACCGGGCTCTAGGCTTAGAAAGCAGATAAAGTAACTTTTAATCCGAGAATTCTAAACTAAGGAAAGAAGCTTATATATATAGGAGCTTTAGTATTCTAAATACTAGCCCTAGCCGCATGCGTTATCGCGGTCACGTGACGCTAAATTTACTAGTAAAGCAGTAAAATATAATAAATAGCAAGAATCTAATTAATTCTAGTACTTTTATTAAGGCAAAAATTAATAATTATATAGAAGCAGAAATAACTAGTTTTCCGATTACTAAATATAATATTTATATAATTAAAAATTTTCTAGTTTTTTTATAAACTAGTTATATAATATAAAATCGGTTTTATATTAAATAACTTAGTACTTTTATAAAAAGTCTTTTATATATTATATATAATTAAATACTTAAAACTCTCTAAATATTACTAATTTTTACTTTCTTATATATTCTTATTTAATTATATATTCTATATTATTTGCTTTTATATTTCTATTTTTATTACTTTATTTATATAAGATATTTATATATTACGTTTTCTTCTTATAATATAACTTAAAAATAAACTTATTCTTTTCTTATTTTAATTCTTATAAGGCCTTAAAAGTATTCTACTTATAAACTTAAATAATTATAATTAAATTAATAAGGTATTTTTTAAAAGCCGGCTAAGTTATTTTATAGGCTTAATATTATATAATAGCTTTCTAAGCTTTATAAAGCTCGTTATATAAGAAACTTACTATAATATTAACTCTAGCTATATATTAATTATAAATCTAGAGCTAAGTTTAGAAAAGAGCTTTAAATAAAAATATAAAGTTTCTTTATTCTTATAAGAGCTTTCTCTTATATATATTAGGCTACTTAACTTTAAAAAGCTTTTTTTAGTTTAAAGCTATCTTTAGAATATATATAAAAAGTTTAGAGCAAATAATATTAGAATCTAAAATAATACCTAGATTTATTATATTTACTTTTATAAGTATAAAATAGCTTTATAATCTAGTTTAATATCTTTAAAAGTAAGACTTAAAGAGAAAGCAAAAGTATATAAATACTTATATATACTTAGAATTATAAAGAGGCTTAAGGCTATTTTTATATTATACTTTTTAGCTTCTAACTAAGTAATACATTTATTAATTATATTAATATATAGCTACTATTACGAGACCGGGTTTCTGGACTTGAAAAGCAAAGTAAAGAAGCTTTATTCCGAGAATTCTAAACTAAAAAGAGAAGCTTATATATATAAGAGCTTTAGTATTCTAAATACTAGTTAGCTATATATATTATTATAATTATATAATACTAAATTTACTAGTAAAATAATAGAGTATAATAGCTACTTCTTTTATAAATATATATTCTTAGCTTTAAGGGCTATTAAATAAGCTTTAAAGGCCTTAAGAAAAATATTAGTTTAAGCGAAATATTATTATTTTAAAGTAATATCTATTACTTTATATAATTAAGAAAGGTCTTAAAAGCTATTATTAAGAGTATTAATAAATTACTTAGAAACTAAAATAGTTATAACTTTATTAGAAATATTAATATTAAAACTATTATTATAAGATATTTTACTTATTAAACTATTTCTCTTTTAAGTTAAAAAGATTAACTTATAAGATAATTAAGTAATAATAAGTAATAAGTCAAGTTATATAATAAAAATTAGTTATATTTAATATAGAAACTAATTTCTAGTTCTTTTATAAGGCTTAGAAAATCCTTCTTTAATTATATAAATTAGAACTAATATTATTATAATATAATAAACTAGCTAATTATAGTAATTAGAGCAATTCGGCTAATTCTAGCTAAGGCTTTACTTATAGCTCTATCTAGCTATATTATATTTATAAAGAAAATAATATTATATAATATTATATTTTTCTCTAATTAATTTATATACTAGTATTAAATATAAGAGTTTTTTTATATTAAAACTCCTATTTTTTTATTATAAATTTATATAATATTAAAAAATATAAATAATACTTAACTTATAAAACCTTTAATATTTTATTAAAAGTAAAGATTTATTTATAAGTAAAGATTTATTTTAAGTTATTAAATACTTTTAAAACTTAATTAAATCTTTTTTTAATTTATATATATAAAGTAATTAATATTAATTTATTAAGAATATAAAATATATTTATATATTTATATTTATATATTATATATAATTTAATAAAAAGTTATTTTATTAAAAAGGGAAAATAAAGCTTAAAAGGTTAGTCTTTAAGGTCCACTTTCTAATTAAGCCTAATTGGGACTAGCTATTCCCTAAATTTCGCAGTGTCACGTGTATTGCCTCTTAAGGGCAATGCGCCTAGAGGCGATGCGTAGAGGCGATGCGTAGAGGCAATGCACTAACAGTAATTAACCCACGCGATATTAGCCCCTTAAATCACATTTTTACTTATATTTCAGCTTCGAAGCAGTTGGGACTACAAGAAAAGCTGCAAGAGCATCCGCTGCAAACTTCTCGCTCTTGATCAGTCCATTTTTGATCTTCGACGGCTTTTCAAGCGCCATTTCTAATACCTGTTTCTCAATTTTGCGATGCCTCACGCCGTTTCCCGAATCAAATCCCATATTATTCGCATGTCGCCAAGTTATGAAACTCAAAAAATCTCTCTCGGAACCTGAACGTGGTGTTTGTGTGTCTCCATTTAACCCGGCCATATTTTTCCACTTTCTCTTCTTGAGCACATCGAATCTACCACCTTGTTGGGCGATGAGCTTGAGGATCACTAACACGAGGAGAGCGCGTGGCTTGGTGTTGACTTGGGAACGTGGTTCTTTTATAATTCTCACCCCCCAGAACCATCTCGCGTCCTGGTCGAATCCATCAGGGTACTCGATATTGGAGGAATAGATTGCAAAAAGTATGGAGTAGATTAGATTGTCATAGTCAGCGAATGTAACGCCTTTTTGGAGCAAGAATTGAAGAACTTTAAGATCGTCCATCGACATTGGGGTTGTGTTTCGACATTGTTGTTGGGCGCATGGTAGGTTCATAGAGACCTCATGGAGGCTGTTGTAGAGCTTAGCTTTCTCAAGAATGCATCCCATGAGATCTAAGGTAATATATTCGAGCTGGAAGTGCTGCAAGACATCTCGAAGAATGTCGGGATAAAAAATTCCTTCTTGGAGAAGGAAGTTGATCACGTCCAGCCCGTAAAAGCTATCTGGAGTGGCAGCAGATTTGATCGCTGCCCTGAGAAGCTTGGCAGAGAGAGGACGATCAAAGATTTGGTGACGGGCCATAATGACATCAAGCAAATCTAGCAGTCGAACTTGACTCTCAAGTATTGGAACTTTCAGATCTCGAAATGCTGCGAATGCAATATCCAGAAAAGAACCATGTTTGCGAGGGTCTGCTCCCGAATGGAGCAGTAATTCTACAGCTTCGTGATTGAAGTGAGTTGCCGCATAGTACAAGGGAGATATAGAGGTTCTTTCTGCTGTGCTGGCAGTAAGGGAGTGATCAGCGCCGAACAATAGAGCACTTTTCAAAGACTCATTGTCTTCAACGTACACCATTCTCCATACGAGGCCTCGCGTGTTGAGAAGGCCAGGACAATCGACCTCCTTATCACTTTTAGGATCAGCTCCAGCGGCCAAACAAGCTCTGAGCTCAACCGATCTTTTCTGGGAGCCAGGGTCATAAGCAATTCTCCAAAGACTTTCGTCTAGCGCAAGGCGGTCCTCTTCCCTCAGAAATCGTCGTTGGATCTCGGCGCTTTCGATAAGTGATTTGTCTGGGGAAAAGGTTCTGTCACACTTGATGATTTCAGCAACTACCTCAGAAGGTGGCCGTTCCGTTTCAAAAGATTGTGAGCCTTTCGTCGCGGAAAAGGATTTCAAGCTCTCAATTTCACGATGTGAAGTCGGAGTGACTACAGGATCTGAGTTGAGCACGCCCAGGGGAACTAAGTCTGGCATCACCATACTTGCTGAATCCCTGTCTTCCACACGAATTGCAGAGACACTAGAACGAATGTTGCTTGGGTGGTTACTGAAGCTGTCAGACCCAGAGGATTGCGTCAGTGACTTTGGGAAAGGTCCTCCCTCGTAGCTATCATCGATCATATCCAACTCGCCCTTAAAGACGGCCGCCGCTCCACGGCTTGTGTAATCACCAGCAATGGATTCTTCTCCGACTACTGATTCTGCATACTCAGATACATCTGCCATGTACCTTTGTAAGATAATATTTGGACTATGCTCGACAGTTATACGAAGTCGGGTGATTTCACGCAGAATCCGAGGAATGTCCTCCTGTCGTATGGCGGTAGTCGCTGATTGAATAGCAGCCGTGTTGCATCTGGTGATTATGAGTATGCTTGCATATTAACACAGAATTACACATACAATGCAAGACAATCTACCGCGAGATTCAACGCCGTTGTGTGAGCTTCGAGGCTAGACCGCAAATTTTCTATATCTTCCCGACCACTTACAACCCACCGAAGACGACGCGATATCCTTGCTGTGCTCTGCTCAACAATCGACGTTGAGATCTGACCAACGATATCTCGTGTCTGAGTAATTATTCCCGAAAACTGCTCTGTGAGCTCATTCGGGACCAAGTGGGTTTTATCCGTCAAAAAACTTGAGAGCATATTGAATCGATTCCAGCTCATTTTTGACCAAGTTGAGGTCGCTTTGTGCGTCTCGAAACTTGCTGGTAAAGTCATGGATTGAGACGAGGAGGGTTTTGATGCCTGTCACGAGGCTGAGAGCCGCAACTGTGATGGACAGAGGATCCATTCTGGGGCTGGCAAAGTCGAACTCCCACCTGTACGTGGTGATGGCTACGAACTTGTATTTACCTAGGTATGATGCAGAGCCAACGGGAGACAAGCGCATTCAGCTGGAGCTGGTGAGGTTGTTGTGTGGTATTGAGGCTGATGATGAGGCTGATGATGATGATGATGATGATGATGATGATGATGATGATGAAGAAGGTCTGTTCCGCCCGGCTAAGCTTAAAGGGCACTAGTACAGCTAGTTGTCGAAATCAGTGCGTTTCGCGCTAAAATTGCTGCGCGCACTCGTTTTCTAGTCCGCACCCTTTAATCTACTTTAAACCCTTTATAACTTTATTATAACGTCTTTAACTTTAATAAATTATATACGAGATTGCTTAATTAAGCCTGCCTTAGTAGAGCCTTTTGTCTCACGTGCCGGGCCTGGTTTGCTCTCTTATTACGTTCCCGGCACGTATTACACGTAAAAAAGCGGCCAAAGTCTATAACAGGCTTCTTTTGATTGCAAGAAGAGCAGTACTAGTCTTGCGGGCCTATAGAGCTCCTCCCGTCCTCTTGCGGGCTCTCTCCCTCGTCCGCTAGGCCCGTGGAGCTCTCCCGGCTCTCTTGCGGATCCGTAAAACCTCCTGCTAAGTCCTCCCAACTCTCTTGCGGACCCGTAGAGCTCTCTCTTATACCCGTAAAGCCCCCCCAGCCGTCTTGCCGGTCCGTAAAGCTCTCTCCCTCATCCGTCGAGCCCTCCCAGCTCCCCTCTCCCCCTCTCTCCTCTCCCTCTCCCTTCCCACCCGTCCAGTCCTCCCAATGCCGATACGGGCTCTTCCGGAGTCTCTCTACTACCCACTTATATTCCTCCTTCTTATAAAGAGCCGCGCGAATCTCTTCTAAGCCCGGCGGGCCCTGCTCTCGCGGTATACCCTCCCAAGCCCCTTTCAAAGCTATAAAGTCATCGTCACTTAGCGACCCTAGCTAGTGCTCGTCCTGAAGCATAAAGCTCTCCAACTCCCCTCGTGTAAACCCTCCGTTTAAAGCCCCTTCCTCCCACTCTCTCTTCCTCTCTCGCCAAGTCCTTCTCGTCCTCTCCCTCCGTAATCTTGCCCGTAAGGCCTTCTCTACTACCCGTTGTACCCGCGCGAACCGTCGTGCCCGTCCTTCTTGTGAAACCGGCTCCCCCTTTTGCTCGCGGTAGGAATCGCGCCACGCGGAGCACGTATACGCTCGTAGATTATTCCGATCGAGAGGGAAGTCGACTATCGGCCGGATACGCTTACACGTCGAGTAGCGGTCCGTAGCGCGGGCTATTCGTGGGATCCGGTGCCGCTCTTCACAACGTCTGCAAAGGGATTCGGAATTTAAAGAGATAAGGCAGGTCTGGCACTCGTGGCAGTAACGTGGGCGGGCCATTAGAGCGTGTGAGAGAGCGTATGAGAGTGTGAGAGAGTGTGAGAGAGCGTGAGAGAGCGTGAGAGAGCGTGAGAGAGCATGAGAGTTTGGTGTTCCCGCACAGACAAAAACTGGTCACGTGGCAGTGTCCGTTTTATACGGATCTTCTATTAATATAGTAAAGAGACAAGTTTAGGGCCGCTTCGCTAAAATTATTAATTGGCGGCCCTATGCAAGCTCCGGGGCCAATTAATAATTTTGCCCTAAACTCGTCCCGAGTAGGGTTAAAATATAATAAAGGCTTTTAGCTAAGTATATAAATTAAGTACGGACTCTTTACGGATAATATAATAAGGAAAATAGCCTGTAAGTATACAAAGTTACCTGTAAGTAAGTTAAAAGCTAAGTAAGACCTTATAATATTTCTGGGTATACTATATTACTTATATAGTTTATATTAGAGAATAAAAGAATATAAAGCCCTGTCTATAAGGTTACCTATAAGGCCGCCATATAGAACTGGCTATAAGAAAAGACCGGCAACTATAAATCTACTCCTACTACCTTAAATAACTGGCCTTATAACTTATTAATAGTTATTATAAAGAATAAAGCAAGTAGAAACTACTTATAGAAGAGTATAAAAGATAGTTACTAATTTGTAGACTAGAGCTTAATCCGTAGAATTATCTATAACTGGCTATTAAAGTCGCTATCTAGTAGCTATACCCGAATTAAGAACCTTCTAAAGCTATATATTAATATCTATAATCCGTTATAAAGCCCTTCCTGCGGATAGAGATTTCGTAAGAGTATTACGGATATACTAATCTTGAGTTATAGCTTGGAAAGAGATAAACCTAGTAAATAGATACTTTATAAGATCTCTAAAGATAATTCTGTAATTTCAGGATCTGCCTTATTTATATTAGCTAAATCTATTATAAAATATATCTATTTCTGGCCAGGAAGTATATCTAGAATTATTTAGTTAAGCTTACAGACTATATTATTTAGAGTTAATAGAATTGCCTATTTACTAAAGGCCCGGTAATTATATAGGGCCTATAAGAGTTATTCTTATAGATAGATATAATTAATTAGGTCTATAACTAACTAGATATACGGAATAAAAGGCAGGAATATAATCTGCTTATTTAAAAACAAGTTATATAGTAGACTACTAATCTAGTCTATAAAATTCTATTCGGACGGATTATTACGGACCTGTATATTAATCCGTAATAATAACTAATAGAGTTATAGCCAGATTTATATCCGCTATAAATAGGCCTATATTATATTAGCCTGCAAACTATATAGAACTACTAGTAAGATCTGGGCAAAGTTTCTTCCGAGAATTATAGGTACTCTTCTAAAGAGAATATTATCTATAACCGACCGTAAATCGACTATTAGCTAGTATATTATCTCAAAGTAATACTTGTATTATATAGGTACCTTATTTCAGATAATTAGATTTATAGATTATAAGAGAGCCCCGAGCCGGCTTGTTTTAGTAATTATACTTACGAATAACTTATTAAGCTCAAGTAGAATCCGGAACTAGAAGTAAGATATATATCTATCCGGAAGAAGAAAAGCTATAATATCCGTTAATACTATATATAGAATTACCTTATCTTGGCTATAGTAATAGTAATAGAGAATCTTATAAAGAAATGTCTTACTAGTATTACTAGAGCCTTATAAGTAAAAGTAGATAGTTTGCAAATTGTCTGTAATTATTACTATAATTATCTAGAAGTAAGAGTACTAGTTTACATTTAGCTAGGCTTGTATTATAGCCGCTAGTAATGTCTTATAGGTATAATTAACCTATAGATTAGCTATATAATAGCTTATAGTCTAGTTAAAGGTATTTTTAGGCAGGGCAATATCTATAAGTATTTGCTAGAGATCCGTAAGGCCGAGATCAAGTAAAAAGAGGCCGTAATTATAGTAAGAATTAACTAAAGATAGCAGGAAGTTAATTAACGGATTATAGGCTAGCTTATAGGCCAAGTTATTATAGAAATACTTTTTATACTAGTTCTAAATTACTTGTATATCTGTAATTAGCTACTAGCAGATATCTATAAGAAAGAGTATTTATAAACTATAGCTAGTTATTAATAAAATAGCTTTATTAAAGTACTAGAACTATTTCTAATTATTCTCTACTAAGCTATAGGTAATATAGATAGTATAGTATATAAAATAATAGATATTCTCGACTAAATAGAGTTCGTTAAAGGACTATAGACTATATATAACTATTAGTAAGAGCTATAAATAGAACCGCTTGCCCGAAACTAGGCTATAATAGTAAATATAGCTAATACTATATTCTCGCTTATAGTACTTCTATATCCGGGTTTTAGTAACCCATATAAAGTACTATAGGAACTTGTAGTATAGGTACTAGTAACTATTTTTATATATTATATTATACTTAAAGAAGGCTATTAAGGTAAAGCAGGTATTTGCGGTCCGGTTTATAATCTATTCAGATAAGAAGTTAGCTATAAAACAGACTATATATTATCTAGAAAAGTAGATTATAAGATATTAAACTAGAGGGAATTCCTAATATATTAGATACTCGAATAAGTACTAGAAAGCCTTTATAGAGCCTATATACCGAGCTTAGAGATATTAGATAATCTTATTATTTATTTTCGAGATAATAATAGTTATATAATATAGAAGGGAAACTATAATAAGACAAAAACCCATATAAAGTATACCAGAGTATAAAACGTGATTTAATAGTAAAATAATAAATTAAAAGTATAAATAGTAAAGTATAAATAGTATATAGTATATAAAAGCTCAATTAATTAAATACTTATAAAGAATTATTCTCTAAATCTATAGAAAAACCAGCTTTCTTATATAATTTCCGCAAGTTATATATAAAAGGCCGCAGCCTTTACTATATAACCTAAACCTTAAAACCACTAAAATAATATAATTTTTAATAAGTACGGCCTGCCGTACTATAATAATCTATTTTTTTTATAAATATACTTGTAAATATATTTAATTACTTATATAGATATATAAATCTTAATATTAATATATAAGTAGAACTTCTAGAAAAGATACGAGTTATACGGAATAATCTAGTAATTATTACAGATGACTTCCTGGCCTAGAAAGCCGGGTTTACAGACCGTAAATATATAGCCGTTATTCTAGTACCAGTATTCGGGATACTTATTCTTATAAATAATTATTATAGCTATAAATACTTTAGGGAACCTCTTCTAATATATAAGCAGAGCTATAGATATACTACGGGCTATATATAGGGCTTTTGGATTATTATTGAGGCTATATAGCCCGTAAGATATCTGGCTAGTAATTACGGCCGTAAGTTTGCCTATAGAATCCTATAACGGGTCTAAAAGCTTAGTATAAATAACCTCATTAATTAAATTAGAGATTAAGAAGATAATATCTTTCTTAAAAAATAAGAATAGATATATATATAAAAGGCTATACTTCTAGTACTTAATTATATATATATAGCCTATATACTATCTAAAAAGGTAGTTTTTAAGGTCCGTAAGAAGCTCTCTTATCTTTAGAATAAAGACCTAGTAAAGGAAATCTGGATAGTTAATTACTTACTACTTATTTAAGAAATAATCTATAATCTCAGGCTAGTACGGGTTAGCTATAAATATAATAAAGAAGCTTGGCTTACTAAAGTACTATATAATAGCTATTAAGTCTTGAAAGAGCTACTATATAAAGTAATTA